AAAAAAAAAAAAAAAACAAATTTTTTTTTATTTGCTTTTTTTTGCAGTTTCAGAAGTTATACGCAAAAAAGAAAATTTTTTGAATAAAACAACTTTCTTTCTAATGGCTTTTATTTTTGTTGGTTGAAATAAGATAAGAGCAATGAAAAAAGGTTGTTTAATTACAGTTCCAAAAAGTGTTACTTCCCAAACACATCTTTCTCTATCAAAATCAAAAAAAAAAAAAAAAAAAACCATTTTCCCACTTCATCATTTACTCGACTTAAACATACTTCACTCTTTTCGTGCCATTAAAGTTCATAGTACCCACCTCCAAAACGTGCTCTTCTACCTAAACTTCCTCCTTCATTTTCTTTTTCTGCGTTCAGGAATTTTGATTCTATTTTACCCACTACTTCTAAACCAATAGATAAATTTGTGTTTATTTTCCTCAATGCTTTCTCGGATGATTTGGCGCCGAACTGAGCTTCTTACATCTATAAAATTTTGTTGTAACAAGATTCTGGTGGCCTGCAATGCAATGGTGATTTGTTAAACTTTGCTTTTTTAGACTTTTAGATCCAGTTCTTGTTCAAAATTTCAATAGATGCCACTTCAGCAGCGTTTCGGTCGGGCCCTTGTAAGATTCGTTTATTTTGGCAAGAATGATAAAAAAGAGAAGTTTGAACACAAGGTAAAATTTATTTTTAATACAGCCTTTACAACTGCTGGTCTCTTCAAATCAAAATAATTCCTCATGTCAACTAATTGGTGAATTCAACTGAAGTTGCTCAACAGGTAAGCGCAGAATTTTTTTTTTAAGCTGACGGCGAGCTCTGATCAAAACCAAACGGGAAAGCCTACAAGACAAAATTGAGGCGCACATCCATCACACAGAACAACAATCAAAGGAGGGTGCTGCGAAAAGATTTTATAGATTGATTTGAGTAAGTAATCGCTTAATGCTGAACAGAACCACCTCAAAAAACCTGTGAACAAAGAAAAAAGTGCTTCTTTTTTCTTTTGCAGTAGGTGTCGTGTGCTGTAACAGCGCCCAATATCTCTTTCTCATTTTCGAACTTCAAACACTACTTAGATCACCGTTAAAAATCACTTTTGACTTTATGGTTATGCACTGCTTCAAATAATTTTCTTCAGTCAACCGGACCAACAAGATAGAAGAAAAACTAGTTATATATCGATTAAACATCGATTTACCATCACGACCACCAACAACGGCTTTCTCACTATCTCAACCATTATTTTTAGTAACTCCCACTATGCCAATCAAGCTGTGCAAGACTGTCCGGACGCTCAGGTCAAGTGAAACTAACGCAGAAATGGTGAAGAAAAGCAAATTTAACTAAACCTTCTAGCTAACCACACTGCGATCGCCAAACGACGGAAAGGAAGTCCTTCTAGATGACAGACACCAACGGCTCTATACTCTTCATCAAATGCTAGTCCTTCATCTAAGCGGCACGCCACGCGCGCTCGAGTGCGCACGCGTGAAGCACTCTAAGCGTTGGGCAGCTGGCCAACTTCTCAAACGTCGCAATTACTGCCGAAGAGTATCGCACAACCATCACTGCTGGTTTTGACTCGTCTATAACGGCTACCGCTGTTTTTCGTACGGTTATTGTTGTTGTCTCCTTGGACGTTATAGGATTTATTGTTTTTACTGC